GGGAACGCGGAGGCTGGGCTCATTTTTGCCGGCCTTGCCATGCGCGTGGAGTCAGTAAGCGTGGGGCCCTGGAGAGTTCCTAAAGCAGAAATAGCAGGGGCGTGGAGGTAGAGTCGCAGATCCGCAAGACCAGCTTCGAGAAGCACGTAGCATCAGGGATTCGCGGCATCATTCCCACCACGGACATTTAGGGGGTTCCTCTGAGGTCTGTGTGCAGAATGTTCTGTGCATGCCGATATGCGCATTCCTCCCCATCTCCCGCCCCTGGCGGCGAGGGTTTATAACTGGCATAAAATTCCCAAAGCGTTCACATCCCAGAGAAGGTTAGTGCCTATTTTTGAAGGACAGCTCACTTCTTTTCTCCTTTGACATTTTGTTGAATGCAAACTATAAATTGTGCTCTGTGTATGTGAGGGAAACCTTTTGGGCCCTGCCCAGTTAATTGTCTCTTTTGTAATTGGCCTTATGGAGACTTTAATGCTTTCTCTGTGAATGCCGAGAGCAGCCCAGTCCATCCCTCAGCCCCCAGATGTGAGCTCTGGACCTCAGAGAAACGCTGGGGGACAGTCACAGATGTCCACTCTCGGCTGCCAAAATGCCTGTGCTCCCTGTGCTCTTTTTCTGGAGGCCATTCTGCGAGCCCAAGTGCCTACGCTCCCTCCTCAGTTACCCTGCCTCTTCCACCATTTTGTTTTTCATAATTCAAGGTGGACATTCTCTTTAGCGTGTAGTATGGGGAGAGAATATGAATGGAAAAAAGTTATTAACCTCTCCAGAACAATTAAATGTCTTTTGTCGTTCTTTAAAGAGAACAGTGAGATGACCCATGAAGTACCATGAGCCGGGAGTGAACTTTCAGGTCATGTCGGGTTTATGGAGCACCATCCACACCAGCTATTGTGGAGCTATGAACATTGTAGTTAGCCTTAGAGGGTTGGGAAGTCGTTCTGTGGCCGTGGAACTAAGTTCTGTCAGATGTACGTTGGCTTCAGCACCAACTGAGGCTTGGGAACGATAACCACAGGCCTAATGAGATGCCCTGATTCAGGGTGTGCCAGACGCTGAACAGGATGTGGACTCTGCCCCAGGGAACCATCTGCTGTGTTGTGTTGGGTTTCTTTAACCATTGTATGGTTTAACATTGTGCTCTTTCTGCTCTTTTCCAGAGTGACTTTCCAACCAGGATGTCACTTGTGGTCTGATATTTGTTTTGAAGACACCTCTCTGGGTGACTAGAAATCAGAAGCAGACTACTGGGACAAGACACAAATCCAAGAGCCAGCAGGCCCGGGACCTTCTCTGGCCACCACCTTGGAAGATTTGCTGATCTTTGCTTTGGCAAGGGATGGGGGGCAGCCTTTAAGGAAGGCTGATTCCAGACCTCAGCGTACATCTAACTAGTATGAGAAACTTAAGAAGATGACTGCGTGTGAGAACATTCCCACACATGGAGTGTCTCACCCACTGAGTTCATCCCGCCTGATATTCTTCTGTAGCTGAAACAGGATTCCTTTTCCAGTTCTGAAAGGGAGTTAGCTCTGGACTGCTAATCTCTAGAAAATGCCTCTGCCTACAAGTATGTTCTTCTATACCTCCTGTGCTGTGCTTAGAGGCAGAAAAGCTTATTACTACTATTAGAAGAAGGTCTTGTACTGACAACGGAAGATAACTTTAGGCAAAATATACCTTTTATCCCCATCTCTTCCCAGTCACTAGTCAATGACTATTGTTACACTAAAATCAGAAGGCCTTTGGTGAGCTCAGTGACAGTGACCTGCTGGACAATCACAGAAATGACCTCAATTTGCTGTTCTAAGTGACAGTTCTTGAGTGGCTGGAACAAGACAAAAGAGAGTATACCTTTGTGAAATGCTGTGTAAATGGTATTTCTTTTTCCATTCTGAGAACTTGAACTGCTTTTTCTCTTTCTACTGTGCACAGTGAGATCTGAGTCTTGGACATTAAGGGCTCTCCTCATCCTCCCTTCTCCTGGACTTTCCGCAGGTTGGTGCCACCCACAGAGCCCCACTTCCCTCTGCACTCTGATTAAATTGTCATCAGGTGCCTTTTGAGAAATGCTTAAAATACACACGTGAAAGAAAAGAGGAAGAAAAAAAAGGAGAAAGCGGTTATGCAAAGTAGAGAAGAATGAAAAAGAATTTAAGAGGAAAAGAATATGTGATCTCATTATACTTTGAATGTGGGCCATTTTCCCCACAAACTCCACTCAGTCTTCTCTGGTTCTGTACCTCATTTACCATGAGTTGTTTCTGCCATCCCAGCTCTGTTATCCCAGGACGCCAGAGGTATGTGGCGCATGCCTCTCTTGGCCTCACCAGACTTGCTGCTCTCCACGCTTTGGGAAACGAGGGATCTTGCTCTCTCAGGAAGGAGCACTTCCGATTCCCACCCTTGCTGAAATGATAGATGTTGCCTAAATCCCAAAGCTAGATACCGCCGGATTTTGTAATTTGTATAGATTGCAAAAAAGTGGCCACAGTTTCTTCCCTTCTCATCAAGAGGTGCAGTCTCTTTCTCCACCCCTCAAATCTGGGAGTGGCCATGTGATTTGATTTGTCCAGTGGCCCCAAACCAATGTAACACAAGCAGAGACTCGACAAATTCTTGTGCATGGGGCCTGTCTTCTCTTGCTGTTCTTGGGGACCTTGCAGTTGCCCCTACGTGAACAAGCCTGGGCTATCCTGCTGCATGATGAGAAAAACAGGCCCAGTACCCCTTCCGTCCTATCTGACAGCCTATCGAGGTCTCAGCTGATTGCAAACACATGTGTGAGCAGCCAAGCCCGACAGGAGAATTGCCTAGCTGAGCCCAGCCCAAATTGATTCCGACTCAAGGCATGAGAAGTTGGTGCACCCTTTAAATGTTCATTTCTCTTCAAGGACAAACTGACTGTTTCTCCTTGTCTGGATGTTCAGCCCTTAATCCCCGACTCCATCTAACCCTAGGTGTCTCACAATCTCCACTTTCTTTGGCAAACGTTTGCCAAAGCTTTTCACCCTGCACCATTATGGTGGGATACATGGTTGGATCAAAAGTCACTGGAGGACAATGAACCTATGAAGGTTTCTTCTTCAACATCTTGTCGGTCTTCTTCAGAGCCACCTGACCAGAGCTGGGCCCTAGTCTCAGAGCACCATTCCACTGGTATCCATTTACTTCACGGTATTTCCAAAAACAGTCCTACATGTGCAATGAAATAAAGAAGTGGCTGGTGAGGGTCAGAAGGATGAGTTGATATCATTGCTTGGAGGAGACTTGGCCTACCAAAGGACTTCTCAGTGGCTTTGGCCTGAGAGGAACCAGGGACAGTTCAGCCCAGTGCTGGCACTTCCAAGGGCAGGAAGACACAAGCCATAACCCTGGTGCTGAGTTTTAGACTTGCTGGTGTCCCTGGCCTCTGAGAGCCTAGGTCTAATCTGTTTGGGCCCCAATTCAGATGGAAAGGATGATTAAACATCATCATTTCTTAGTCACCAGCTTTGGATTTCAACTTGCTCAGGCAATTCTGGAGAATATTGGGTAACTGCAGAAGCTCTTATCTCTTCACACTGAGCACTGTGTCAGGCTTCTCTCCACCAAAGAGCCCCATAGCACCAGCTGCAGAGACCAGACATATTGCTTTTGTTAGCCAAGGGCATGTAGGATTTTGGAGAAGGTTAGGGGAGTCGTAGGAAAGATTAAAATTGGAAACCTGCAATTCCAAAGACAAACCAAACTATAGACAGACAATACAATAAAAAACACAAAGACAACAGGCTTCTGAAATAACTTGGGGAAATGGGACCAGGTTGTCCCCTGTAGGGCTGCATAAATCACTGAAACTTCCAGAGAGAGAACACTATTGTTTCTGGGTACGTGGATAGAGACAAGACTGGCTAGACAAGTAAAGGCAAAGCTGGCCATCCTCGGCACCCTGGCTTTTCCCAATGGGTCCTTTTGTTTTTTCCCTGAATAGTGTTTCCCGCAGAGGAAGGGCTTATACATACTAGCTTCCTTCCTAGGTTTTATTGGGGTACAAAATAAGTCTTGTGTAAGACATGACCTCTGTCCATTAGGACCCTGCAATTGAATAGGGGAAATAAGACATGCCCAAGAAAGAAGTAGGAGATTTTATGCATATAATGTGAAATATTGCTATGGATAAATCACAACAAACCCAGAGAATTAAAGTTTTTAAATTTAAATGGGTATATTTTGATATTTAAATGTTGTGTGTGTTTGTCCATCCATTGTCTTTAAAGATTAGCTCGGTGTTCTGAAAAAGCCAGTATTAAAAAATCTGATGGGAAGAGATGAATTAGGATGGGGAGGGGTACAAGGCAGAGGGCCCAGGGGGATGATGCAAGAGGTGCTGTGTGCCTGTGAATCACAGCTGAGTCAGGGATGTGTTGGAGAAGGGGGTGCGGGTGCAGGTGCCAAGAGGTTTCTCCTAGAACAGCTTCTTTAGGCCATGCATAGATTCGCTAGGAAGCTGGGGACATTTGCCCTGGACCTGATGGTACGCATCAGCTTTCACGCAAGCATGCTCCCAGGGGAGCTCTGGATCTGCTTGTCCAGGGGCTCAGTTCTGCAGCCGTGAGTGTTGCTGGCTACCCTCACTGACACAGAGAAAGTCTGGCGGAGATAAAGGGCCTCTCATCTCCCTTCCTGTGATCCTCACTCTGCACCTGGCGCAGGACTGGGTGGTGGTGGGGGGGGGGGGCAGGAAGGGGCTGCCACTCTAGCCCGAAGCACTCCACCCTGAAGACACCTAGCCACGTCTGTAAGTATTTCTAAATACTCTGAAAGACATCACATAGGTAATCTGATTAGATTACTTGATTACCTTCAGAGGCTGAAGTTGCAGATACTGTTGTAATCCATCCTCCCCTTTTCTTTATAAATGGAGAAATAAACCATCATTGCCATTGGTGAAGTTACAAATCTAATTAGGCCTTTAGATTCCGAGCCTATAACTCTTATCTGCTGGATCGGTGTTTCCCCAAATTGCCTAACCAGACAAATTACGTGATTGCTGTTAAAAATATATTGTTGGGCCCCACCTTGGAGATTGATTAGGTGGGTCTGGAGTCAGTATGGGTTCTTTTAACGTATGTTTCAGAAGAGTCCTGTGATCAGATACATTTGGCAAATGGCGCACTAGATCATACCTATGGTGTACCCCCAAGCAGTTGGTCCTGAGGCTTCCTTGGGCTTTGAGGATGTCTTTAGACATCCTCTTACTCCCTTGGGGCTGGCAGTGGGGCAGCGCCCAGCAGTCTGGCTGCGACAGAGGTGACTGGCTCACCAGGGTCCAGAGGTAGGAGAACTGTGTGAGGCAGAGAGAAAGGAAAACTCGGAGCACTCCCCAAGAGCCGGTTCTAGATGTTTCTAATCCTAGAATAATGATCTATTGTGACAATCTCAGATCTGACAATAGGAATCACAGGTAATTTTCTCATTCCCTCGATGTCATTCTGAGCAAAACTTAGATCATGAACAGAAAGAAAAGAGACCGTTGGGGAAATGGCAAATCATTCTTTGAAGCATTCAGATTATCGCCCTGGCTGGTCAACTCCCACTTCCACCTTAAGACCCAAAGTGGGGTGGGCAAGAATAATAAGATCTACATTATATACCCTTCCAACATCAGATTTAGATGCTGTCAGAATCTTGCTAGAGTTTAAAATTGATTTATAGGATCTAGAGATCCAAATTCACCAACATAGGGTCCCAGAAAGTCCTAGAGGAAAACAGTGCCTAGATTTGTTTTTTTTTTTTTTTTTTTTTTTCTGCTAGGATCCTACCTCCTAGTCACCTGGGAAGCTGATCCATGGAGCTTTAAGTAAGGGGCTTTTACTGTCAGAGTGGAACAGAGATACTGTTGAGCTGCTTAAAGCAGCATCCTGAGTTTTGGCACTGGCTGAGGGTGATAAGTTTAATACTAATAGTATTTGTGTTATTTTTATGGTGTACTACTGTTTACAGAGCACTTTCACATGCATTATATTCTTTGATCCTCACAACACCCTCCTGCGACAGAGGCAAGGTGGATGTTGTGGCCTCCTCATCAAACAGAAGGTCAAGCTGAGTTTGAGAAAAGCTAAGTGATTTGCCTATAGTCCAAAGGTTTTTAAAATTATAGAGCCAGGCCCTCCGTCTGCCCAGGGTCCTTCCCAGACAATTCCTGCAGCACCCACAG